GGTCCCCCAGGATGACGCTGTTTTAGAGGTCCTGGCTCCCAGGATGATGCTGTTTTAGAGGTCCCGGTCCCCCAGGATGACGCTGTTTTAGAGGTCCCGGCCCCCCAGGATTATGCTGTTTTAAAGGTCCTGGCTCCCAGGATGACGCCTTTAGAGGTCCCAGTCCCCCAGGATGACGCTGTTTTAGAGGTCCTGGCCCCCTAGGACCTCTATGACTCTGTTTTAGACATCCTGTCACACACTCTCGGAGTCCTCGCTAAAGCACGTGGTCACCTTAGAGGTGGTGTTTGGGGGTTTTGGAAATGGTCAGCATCATTCAATGTCACACTGAGGCAGAGTGGCTGGCGTGGCCCTCCCTGCCTTCCAGTGAGGAAACCACATCTCATGGCTTGAACTCAGCCTCTTGTCCGACCCGGAGCTGTCTCACCGTTTGCCCGGGACATCCGTGCCCCTCCTGACCTGCCTCTGCTTCTTTCCGCAGCATCGTCGAGTGCCAGGGCCTCCCCATCGTGAACGGGCAGTGTGACCCTTACGCCACCGTGACGCTGGCGGGGCCCTTTAGGCAAGTTGCCTCACACCTCAGGGTTTCTGTCCTGGTCCTGGGGAGGCTGGGGGCTGGCTCTGACATCACGAGGCCGCTGCCTCATTTGGGAGGAGGCAGAAGGATGCACTTTTGAGATAGAAGATGTGATTTTTACTTCCTTTGTTTTCTTTATTGCTCTAAAGTTGCTTTGTAGAAAACGAACCCGTCGTGCTCATCACACTGGGTATTTTTGGCTCAGTCAGTGTTCCTCATTTGCATACCATCTGGAGCTGGAGACAAACAGAAATATTTATAAAATAAATAAAGGCAATAAGTGACTTGTGCATTTGAGAGCTCAGTTTTATAGCCGAGAGACTTGGAATCAGCAGCGTTGCTTTAATCCCAGTCCCTTCTCTCTCGATAACAGATCGGAAGCAAAGAAGACAAAAGTGAAGAGGAAGACCAACAACCCCCAGTTCGATGAAGTGTTTTATTTTGAGGTTGGTGTCTTAGGGGGTGAATGTCAAGTGGACACTCTGTGCCTGTGACACATTGGCAAAAAGTCTGGATCAGAACCATCTCAGTCTCTTTCCTCTGGAAGTTCCTTCCGGAGAGGAGGGAGCCCAGTGGGCCGGCCCTGGGGACTGGACCCATGGCCCCCAGGACTTTCCCTCCCCTCCCGAGAGAGAAAGCCTTTCCTTGTCTCCCAAACTGGCCCAGATTTGAGTTAAAAGATGACAAATTAATGCTTTCCAAATTACCAGGACTTTGGGGTTTTTTGTTGTGTTTTTGCCTGCTCTGCCCGAGTGTCCCTGGGTGGGCAGAAGTCTTGTTCCAGTGGAAATAGGCAAGTTTTCAAAGCAAAGGGGGTAAAGGATTCAGACCCAGAGAGCCTCTGAGAACGTGAAGCACCAAAATCTGGGAAAAGGAGGGTGCAAGAGCTATCCCTGGTGGAGCAGGACCCACCACGCGGTTTTAGGACAGCCCCACCTCATGGAGTGGGGACCTGCGTGTGTCCGGCGTGGTTTTAGAACGGCCCCACCTCATGGAGTGGGAACCTGCGTGTGTCCGGCGTGGTTTTGGGACGGCCCCACCTCGTGGAGTGGGAACCTGCGTGTGTCCGGCGTGGTTTTGGGACGGCCCCACCTCGTGGAGTGGGGACCTGCGTGTGTCCGGCGTGGTTTTAGAACGGCCCCACCTCGTGGAGTGGGGACCTGCGTGTGTCCGGCGTGGTTTTAGAACGGCCCCACCTCGTGGAGTGGGGACCTGTGTGTGTCCGGCGTGGTTTTAGAACGGCCCCACCTTGTGGAGTGGGGATCTACGTGTGACCGGCATGGTTTTGGGACGGCCCCACCTTGTAGAGTGGGGACCTGCGTGTGCTTGGGATGGCCACATTCATGGAGTGGGGACCTGCATGTGGCTGGCGTGGTTTGGGGATGGCCGTACCTCGTGGAGTGGGGACCTGTAATGGCCGGCATGGTTTCCGGACAGCGGAACCTCACGTGGAGTGGGGACCTGCTGTGTGGCCGGCATGGTTTTGGGACGGCTATGTGCAGGGCTATTCCTTGTGGAGTAGGGGACCTGTAATGGCCGGCATGGTTTCCGGACAGCGGAACCTCACGTGGAGTGGGGACCTGCTGTGTGGCCGGCGTGGTTTTGGGATGGCTATGTGCAGGGCTGTTCCTTGTGGAGTAGGGACCTACGTGTGGCCGCATGGTTTGGGGGCCACTGTGTGCAGGGCCGTTAGGCAGATGCTTTTCTCATCCGCAAACGTTCCTGTGCAAGGGCCTGTGAGGATGGATGAGGCCTCTGTGGCAGGAGCGTGGCCAGTCAGGCCTGCAGGGTCGGGCAGGCTCTCTAGAGCCATGAAGGCTGACTGGGACTCACAAGCATGCAGCTCTGGGGGTCCATAGGAGAAAGGGGCTCCAACAGGCCCTACAGGCAGAGGTGGGAACTTGGTGACTGAAGCTGGGGCCAGGCTTTCAGGGCCGTCGTGAGGAGGGCTTTGGAGGTGGGATCTGTTTTCAGTCAGACGGAAGCCCTCACTGATAGGCGGAGAAGATGGTTTTGCTGGAGCAAGAGAGGCAGGGTGGGCCTGTTGGAGGGGCAGGAGGCCTGTAGCACGGACCAAGTTCCAGATGGCAGGTCCCTGCTTGGGGAGGAGGCATCACCTCCACCTTTATGAGATCGGGAAGTGGGGGAAAGCAAATTTGAGGACAGAAGTGTATAGGTCAGGAAGGAGGAGGCGTCTGGAGCCCTCAAGCAAAGCAGAGCACTGTCTCTCCATGGTCTTCACCTGAGATCACCAATCAGGAAGTGTAAGCTCAGAGCTTAGGCAGTCTTAGCAGCATGATGTTGCTGTGAAACCTTGCATCAGAACTTCGAGCTGAGAGCTCCTGAGCCCACATCCCCGCTGAGCCCTGGAGAAGGCAGAGTAGGGAGGGAGGCCGGGCAGGAGAGAGCCGTCCTCGTAAACACGGGTGGCCTGGTGCGTAGCTGATGGTGTTTAAATCGGAACTCGAGGTGGTGCCAGCCTGTGAGTAGGCCTCCTGCTGGGCTGCACGGGCCCTGCTGGCTGGCGAGGTGTCTCGGAGCCTCAACCCTTCACGTCTCCACTCCCTTTCTGTTCTGAGGGACCCACGGTGCTGAGGCGCCAGGAGGAAGGCAGCAACATCTTCGCCTTTCCAGAGTGCTGGGGTCTGGTGGGGGCTGGCTGGGTTCAGGCACTGCAGGCCTCACGCTTTTCACTTCCTGTTGGAAAATGGAACCTGGAGGTAGGGCCATGGAAGTGCAGCTCTGGCTTTGTCTCCACGGCGGAGGGTAGAGAGCCCAGAGCAGGTGCTAGCAAGGGGCTCTTAGGTTCCCAGAGCCCAGCACCCATCAGTAGCTGCTTGGAGGGTCTGGCCGTGGCTGTGAACAGCTTTGGGCAGGTCCTCCCTAGGGGCACTGTGAATGGGAGATGCTGGCACTCAGGAAGCCAGGCCTGAATCCTGAATCACGCCTGGTGCCTTCCCGGTTGTGCGCCTTGAGTGGCACGTGGGTGAGCGCAGAGGTTAGGCGGCTGGGGGCTTGCGTCCGCGTGGAGACCCCTGCCGGGCGAAGCGCAGTCTCAGCACTTTCTCTCTCTCTCTGGCTCCAGGTGACCCGACCCTGTAGCTACAGCAAGAAGTCCCACTTTGACTTCGAGGAGGAAGATGTGGACAAGCTTGAAATCAGGTGAGTGAGAAAACCTGGCTCTGCATTCCCCTCTTGGCAGGTTGCACCCAAGCTCCTCGGCTCTTTTGTGTTTTGTTTCTAAATATAGGCGCATAGATAGAAATGAATTTCCGTTTTCTTGGTAATTTTCACAACAGGATGTTAGAACTTGTGGCTGAAACAAGAGCAGGCAGACACCAGGTGGGCAAACCTGGAGTTACGACTCAGCTTGCAATACCTGCTAAGAGGCAAGGCCAAAGGTCCACATCCCACGGGCCCACAAGGCTTCGTCCACCTGGACCGGCAGGGGCTGGAGCCGTTCTTAGGATTTTGTTCTAAGCTCTCTGCCCTCCGTGGGTGTGGTCCACACTCAGAGGTCGCAGGGCCTGGCATGCTGGCACAGCACCAGGCCCTCACAGAGTGGGACCCACTGCTGAGGCTCTCGGTGGGCGGCACCTGGGAAGACCCTGTACCAAGTGAAATGCTGGGGTCCAGGGTTCACGTTTACTGCGTGTGGTCATAGAACCTGTGTCTTCAGCCTTTGCCTATGGAGCCCCCTACTGCACTTCCCTTTCCTGGCTCCTCAGTGCCTCCCACGGGAAACGGGGGACTCACCTGTGAGTTCACGCAGGTCAGGACATGATCGCAGGCCCAGGATTTAGAGAGCTCCACAATATGGCTGATTCAGAGTCCTAGGGAAGGCGGGCCCCAGAATGTGCCCTTCCTGAACCCTGCTGGGTTCCCGCCTCCCAATAAAAGCAAGCTGGACTCCTGTTTCTTTTGGAACGCAGCCTCTGTTCCCTCAGTATCAGCAAATGCCTCCAGCCCCTATGAAGAAGCAGATGAGCCTCCCCTGAAGCCCCCAAATCTTTATGTGTTAGACAGAGAGAAGTAAGGAAATGGCTCCCTCCTGACCCCAGCTGACCCTGAGACCTTGAACCTGGGATGTCCGAGCCTGAGATGCACCTGAGCCTGGGATGCCCCCAATCCTGGGAGGCCCCTGAGCCTGGGATGCCCCTAAGCCTGGGATGTCCCCGAGCCTGGGATGCCCCCGAGCCTGGGATGTTCCCGAGCCTGGGTTGTCCCTGAGCCCACAATGCCCCTGAGCCTGCGATGCACCTGCTTTCTTTAGGTCGTTTCGGAGAATGTGCTGGCCATCACTTCCTAGTCACACTGCCTCCCAGGGGCTGGCACCACCCCCGGGGGACCCTGACTCCAGAAGCTCAGGGTAATGGGACACTTGAAGCCAGTGTGTGGCTCAGGCCCTGTGGCTGTCAGGAGGCCTGGTGCTGTGGTTGAGAACTATAGGTTCTCCCATGGGACAGGGTTGGAATGTCCCTGATGTGGTGGGTCAGATCCGCCTCCTGTGGGTCAGGTCCTGAACTGTAGGAATGTCCCCGAGGTGGACAGTCAGATCCGCCTCCTGTGGGTCTGGTTGTGAACTGTAGGAATGTCCCCAAGGTAGTGGGTCACATCCGCCTCCCGTGGGTCAGATCCTGAACTGTAGGAATGTCCCTGACTTGGACAGTCAGATCCACCTCCCGTGGGTCAGGTCCTGAACTGTAGGAATGTCCTCGAGGTGGTGGGTCAGATCCGCCTCCCGTGGGTAAGGTCCTGAACTATAGGAATGTACCCGAGGTGGTGGGTCAGATCTGCCTCCTGTGGGTCAGGTCCTGAGCTGTAGGAATGTCCACAAGGTGGTGGGTCAGATCTGCCTCCTGTGGGTCAGGCCCTGAACTGTAGGAATATCCCTGAGGTGGTGGGTCAGGTCCTGAACTGTAGGAATGTCCCTGACATGGACAGTCAGATCTGCCTCCCGTGGGGTCAGGTCCTGAACTGTAGGAATTTCCCGGACGTGGTGGGTCAGATCTGCCTCCTGTGGGTCAGGTCCTGAACTGTAGGAATGTCCCCGAGGTGGTGGGTCAGACCTGCCTCCTCTGGGTCAGGTCCTGAACTTTAGGAATGTCCCCGAGGTGGTGGGTCAGATCTGCCTCCCGTGGGTCAGGTCCTGAGCTGTAGGAATGTCCACAAGGTGGTGGGTCAGATCTGCCTTCCGTGGGTCAGGTCCTGAACTGTAGGAATGTCCCTGACGTGGACAGTCAGATCCACCTCCCTTGGGTCAGGTCCTGAACTGTAGGAATTTCCCAGACGTGGTGGGTCAGATCTGTCTCCCGTGGGTCAGGTCCTGAACTATAGGAATGTCCCCGAGGTGGTGGGTCAGATCCACCTCCCCTGGGGTCAGGTCCTGAACTATAGGAATGTCCCAGACGTGGTGGGTCAGATCCGCCTCCCGTGGGTCAGGGTCCTGTGGAATGAGAGCGTCCATTGGGAATATGGCAGCTGCCCTGGTGTCCCAGCCCCGCATCAAGTCTTGGATGCTCTGAGGTCCCGTGTGCCCCCTGCTCTGCTTCTCTCCCTTCTTGCTTTAAGTCCTAAGGGAGGGTCCTCTCCACCGATTCTCAGGGTTTGAGCTCCATTTTTTAATGTTTTGGCCTAAACCTTAGTTTCCAGTGCTTCACGGTACTGAGCCAGGGGCCCCGAGACCCTGGGCCGGGTGTCCGAGGCTTCACGGTACCAAGCCAGGGGCCCCGAGACCCTGGGCCGGGCGTCCGAGGCTTCATGGTACCGAGCCAGGGGCCCCGAGACCCTGGGCCAGGTGTCCGAGGGAGGCCTGCTGGACCTGCCTCCCCAGGGACTCACAGAAAAGAAAGAAGAACCATCGCTGTTTTCTATTCACACCAAGCTTTGAATTCAGGAACGAAGTCCTAGTCATTAAATTTTTTAAAAGCATCCAAAACATGTTTTCAATATTTCTCTTATTAAAGGCAAATGCGCCTGCCTCGCCACTCAGAATGTTTCTAAAGTGTCCATGGGCAGATCGGGGGTTCCCTCGTGTTCCTTCTGAAAGTAACACGCTGTGGGCTCCTGTGTGACCTGCCAGCCTTCCCCAGCCCCAGTTGAGACTGCTCCTGTCAGACGGGCAGGGCCTCTGTGGTGCTGTTGCCCCGCAGAATTTGCAAGGGAAACAGAATGACCATTCTGGAATCTTCTCCCCCTGGGGGATGCCCCTGATGGCCACAGCGCGGTTAGGCCTGTGGGGTTTCAAACCCACGGGTGGGGCCGACTGCACATGACTGTGGGGTTTCAGTCATGTGGGTGGGGCCGGCCACACATGACTGTGGGGTTTCAGGCTCGTGGGTGAGTCCTGGCCACGAGGGACTGGGGTATCAGCCCTGTAGACTTATTACAGCTGCGGATGCTGTGTGTCTCTGTCCAGTAGAATTTCACGGCCCCAGGTCTGAGCGGACACACACCATCCTGCACTGGGACAGAGTTAGTGGGAGCCGCTGCCCTGTTAGATGTTAGCAGAGGCTCCACAGTGCTGGTCCTGGGCTGGTCCTTGAGATTCAGGGACTGTGCTGTGGTTCATGGCCACAGGTGGCCCAGCCACAGTTCTCCCTGCTGTGGTGTGCACAGCCCCTGAATCCATTTCATGTCCCAGGTCATGAGCAGTCAGTGGAGACAGGATTCTACATTCAGGGCCAGGGGCTTCACAATCACCGGGTTTTGTTTCAAGGCATGTTTTCATGTTGAAAGCAGAGAGTCCCTGGCTGTGGAGTTGGGCAGCCCGTCCTCCATGGGCACCGCCCTCTCTACACCCAATTTCTCCATCATTCCCTGTGCTGAGCCCTGCAGATGGAGGCTGCCAGGCCACATGCTGGGGTGGCACTAGAGGCACACGCCACAGGGCGCTGGCGGTCTTGCTTGCCTGCCATGCACAGGCTGCTTGTGCTGGGTCTGTTGTGGGCAAAGGGAACAAATGGTGCCGGAGCCAAGAGCGGCAGCAGCCACGTAGTTCCTGGGCGATGCAGGGATGCCCAGCTCCTTCCTGGCGTAGAGCCTGGGGTCATGTAACTTCCTCCGATCTAACAGCCTGGGCCTGCGTTCAGGCCCACGGCCTTCCGCCTTCCTCTTCCTGCCCATTCACCCCTGGGAGACACTCATCTTTATTCCAAAGCCACAGGCTGGTCTGGCATGTTTTAAACGTGCTCCGTGGGCCGATGTGTTTTAAATGCTCTGTGGGATGGTGTGGTTTTTTTCTGGTTTTTGTTTTATTTGTTTTCTGAGATGGAGTCTCGCTCTGTCACCCAGGCTGGAGTGCAGTGGTGTAATTTCGGCTCACTGCAACCTCCGCCTCCCAGGTTCAAGCGATTCTCCTGCCTCAGTGTCCCAAGTAGCTGGGATTACAGGCATGTACCACCATGCCGGGCTAATTTTTTGTATTTTTAGTAGAGATGGGGTTTCACTATGTTAGCCAGGATGGTCTTCATCCCCTGACCTTGTGATCTCCCCGCCCTGGCCTCCCAAAGTGCTGGACCGCAGGCGTGAGCCATCACACCTGGCCTAGCTGTCATGTTTTAAACATGCTCCATGTGCTGGCATGTTTTAGATGTGCTCCGTGGGCTGGCGTGTTTTAGATGTGCTCCATGGGCTGGCGTGTTTTAGACGTGCTCCGTGGGCTGAGCCTCGATGGAGACTCTGGAGAGGTGCAGCTGGCTCCACCCTGCTCCTTGGGGGACAGAGCATGGCTGGTAGTCTCTGCTCCACCCGGGCTGCTCATCATCGGCTAGAGCTGTACCAATGCCATTTTTCAGAGTCGACCTCTGGAATGCCAGTAACCTGAAGTTTGGAGACGAATTCCTGGGAGAACTAAGGATCCCGCTGAAAGTCCTGAGGCAGTCCAGCTCCTACGAGGCATGGTAAAGTGACATTGTACCTGCAGACTTCTGCATCTCTGAGAGCCACAGAAACACCTTTCTGAGCAGAAAGGCCCAGAGGTCGCGCATGCTGGTCCTCGACTGTGCCCGGCAGCCACCTGCTCTTACTTTGCATGTAGCTCTGACAAGCTCTAGCTTGATGAGTTTCTGCTCCACAGCAGAGGAGAAACTGCAGGCGAGGAGAGGCGACAGGGATCACACTGAGAAGAGACTCACGATGCTGGCACCTCAAAACAAGACAGGAAACGTGGGCAGAAGCAGCCCTGAGCCGCCAGCAGCTCATGGGGTCTGACCCGGGTGAAAGTGGGGCCCTAAGCCACCAGCAGCTCGTGGGGTCTGATTCCAGGTGAAAGTGGGGCCCTAAGCCATGAGCAGCTCGTGAGGTCTGACCCCAGGTGAAAGTGGAGATCCTAAGCCATGAACGGCTTGTGGGAGGGCCTCAGCCGCCAGTGCAGGGGCCCAGGACACACTCACGTCAGGTCCTGCCTTGCGGCTGCACTCCCACTCTTACTGTGGCTCCCAGCAGCACCTCCTCCTGAGGGTGCTTTGCAGGGTTCTTCACTCTACTCTGCACCTCTAGACCTCAGGGGTTGGCTCGGCCTCAGAACTCACCCCAGAGCACAACGTGTGCTGCTGCTTCCTGCCTTTCTTTCCTGTTTTCTCCAGGTGTTTGGTGTTTTGTGGGAAGGATCAGGCCATTGTTTCATTTTACCTCAAGTTCACGTGTGTCTGTTAGTGACACACGGCACCTGGGAGGCCTGGAGTCACGGGAGGCATGCACTCCCAGGTGTGACCGTGTGCTGGGGCCTCACGCCTCATGTGTCTCTCTGCCCTGCGTGTAAGGCCAGCTTTCCATCCATCTTCACTCTGTGAAAGCCTAAGCTGAGTTAGGCTCTTTCCAATGCTGAGCAGACTCCTGACCCTGGTAGCCAAGGCTGCCACGAAAGACCCCAGAGAGCCAGGGCTAATGCCTTAGACACAGCCTCTACCCACCTGAGAGCTTAGACTGCCTGGCCCCCAGGTCAGAGCAGAGAGGGGTCCTGGGTGAACACATGGGCTAGAGCCAAAGACGGAAGAGTGGCTGGGAGGAAAGTCCCCACAGTGACCACGTGCCCAGCTGGCCTGCTGGGCTCACCAGCCAAGGTCCCACCCCATGACACCAGAAGCCACTGCACACTTTGGTTGAAATAATTTCCATGTCCACCTGCTGCTGCCACTGTTGGTGTGGGTGTTCACAGTGATTACTGATGCTCCTGCAGTGGTTCCCAGATGCCTGTTCCCTCAGCGTCACATCCCCCACCCTGCCCCTTCCCCGTTTCCCCCACTTGACTCCTGGGTCTTTGGCTCCAACACTGGCCTCCTGGGGATCCCTGGTGACCAGCCCTTCTGGGGGTCTTCTGTGGGGACTTCCCGGGGGCTGCACTCTGGGGTCCTGCAGGGTCACCCTCCTGTCAGGGCGGCTTGAAGCAGGCAGCTGGGCTGCCCCAAGAGCTGCTCCTTGGTGACTGCAACCTCACACCGCGTGTCCCTCCCGCCCAGGTACTTCCTCCAGCCCCGGGACAACGGCAGCAAGAGCCTAAAGCCGGACGACCTGGGCTCCCTGCGGCTGAATGTGGTCTACACGGAAGACCACGTGTTTTCTTCTGACTATTATAGGCCTCTGCGGGACCTGCTGTTGAAGTCTGCGGACGTGGAGGTACTTGTCCACACCATGGCCTATGGGTGTGGGTGGAAGGTACCACTTGCCTGGGCCCCACCCCATACCCGGGCCCCACCCCAGAGGGCACCTCCACCCAAGGGGGCCTTTCCCACACCTCCCAGTCCGGCCTGTTTCTCACCTGGATGCCTGGACCCCTTTGCTGGGGGCACCGGTCCCTCTGTAGCTAGAGCTGTAGGAGCCTGGTGGGGCTGAGGACTCCCCACGTCATCTGAGGGGGACCCTGCCATCAGGGTCTCTCTGTTGCCTCAGGGGCCCTAGAACCAGCTGCATTTGGGGATTGCTGGGAGGAGGTGCAGACGTCCCTCCAAGGGCCCGGCCAAGCAGCGGCAAATGGGAAGTTTTGATGCTTTTGTGAAATGCGTGTGTTTCTGTCTTGGCAAAGAGGCATGTCTAATGTGTCTGGAAGTGAGACCCCAGCCAGGGTGAGAACAGGCCTCTGGAGTCCCACACCCCGGGCCACAGCACTGACCCTGCCCCTCCATGCAGCCTGTGTCAGCGTCCGCGGCCCACATCCTGGGTGAGGTTTGCCGGGAGAAGCAGGAGGCAGCGGTCCCGCTGGTGCGACTCTTCCTGCACTATGGCAGGGTGGTGCCCTTCATCAGTGCCATCGCCAGCGGGGAGGTGACGCGGACACAGTGAGTGCCTGCTCCGCCCATCCCACCCTGCCCTGGGAGAGCCACTGGGACCTGCTGGGGGGATGGCAAGGTTGTTGCCCAGAACCACATCCTGGTGCAGGGCTTGAGGAAAGTCGAGGGCCCCAGGCTGCCCCAGAAATCCTGTTGATTCAGGCTTGCTGTCACAGACCCCGGTTGATTTTTTTAAAGCCCCATTTGCCTTGGAAATCCCTGGGAGAGTGTGTGGGTGGGGAAGGGCGACGGCTCCCAGGGCTCCAGGACGGCTCAGGTCCCCTCCTGGGGGCACTTTGGGAGCCCACGAAAATAGGGCACCCCTTCCCTCAGGACCTGCTGAGCGCTGCTTCCCGACGCCCTGTTCTAGAAACTTCTGGCTGCATCTGCAGCCACTGTAGTTAGCAGGGGGTTTACTTCTCTGCTGGCCTCAGATGCTGCCAAGGTCTAGTGCACAATTCTCTGTGCAGGCACAGACCGCAGAGGGCGGGAGGGCGAAGGCCGGCCGGCTCCCTCTCAGCTGGCGGTCACGCGCACAGCCAGGCAGTTCCCTCTGGCCCTGTTGACATCGGACTGTTCCGTGGGCAGGTCTTGAGCATCTGGCCTGGCCGTGCTCCTGGTAAAACGTCAGGAAGCCGACTGATGGGCGTGTGCAGGCAGGTGCTGGGGCAAGGCTCTGTTCTGACCGCGCTTCCGCGTCCTGGGAGACAAACGCTGTCCCCACCGCCATTTCCCAGGGACCCCAACACCATCTTCCGAGGGAACTCACTGGCGTCCAAGTGCATTGATGAGACCATGAAGCTGGCAGGGATGCATTACCTGCACGTCACCCTGAAGCCTGCCATTGAGGAGGTGAGCGCAGGGCCCAGAGTCCTCAGCATCGCAGGGCGTGGGGAGGACCTCCCTCAGACGGAGAGCAGCATGCAGGGATCCAGCCGGGCAACAGTCAGGCTTGAGTGTCCGCCCCTCCGGGCTTGCTGCAAGGGTGCTGTTTCTTTCGCTTTAACTAGAGGATGTTCCCTGTGTGCTCAAGAACCTTCCAAATTCTCCCAAATTAAAACACCTACATGCAAGAAAAACCTGATTCTTCCCAGGGAGACCCTCTTTCTCCACATGCCCTGGGGTCCCTTGTGTCCAGGCCTGGCCGCGTGGCACGTTTGAGCTGAGCACCCAGCCCTCACCCGATCCTCTGATGCCTGCCGGGCTGTGCCCCCTGTTCATGAATGGCTTTGTAAATAGGCTCTTTGCCAATGTGAGAAAATTTAACAGTATCCTCCTTTGCTCTGTTCTCGAAATCCTGGCAGCATTTTGAAGTAAAAATATGATCAAAGTCTGGGGTGCACATCCCTTTCTGAGAAAGCCTGGTGCATCTGATCACAGCATGGATTGGCCCCGTGCCCGGCGTTTGTGCCTGACCTTTCGCTCGCCCCTTGGCAGCCGGTGACATGTGCCCTGACACACGCCCATGGTGGCCCCCTTGCAGCCGAGGCTCGGGGCTGATACCACCCCACCGTGGCCCTGCCTTCTGGCCGGCCTCACCATGCCTCTCTATGGCCGGGCTCAGGGAGCTGTTGCGGCAGTTTGTGAACGAGGCTCGGAGTCTACGTCTCAGCCGTGCCCGAGACCCCCTCCTTTCTCCCTGCCTGTGCCCCCAAAACCCACTCACAGAGCCCCATCTTAAACCTCTCCCCAGATATGCCAGAGCCACAAACCCTGTGAAATTGACCCTGTGAAGTTGAAAGACGGAGAAAACCTCGAAAACAACATGGTAGGTTTCGTTCATGAACAAACACAACCAAAGCCAGTCACCTGCTGGGGGTTTTTCAGCCGGGGGCTGCTGGGAAGCTCCGTCTCACCTGTGACCCCAGTGGGGTGGGAGCAGGATGGGACATGAGGATACCTGCTTCCCCCGCTGCAGTACACCAGCTGCACTGCTGGGAGGCCTTGGCCGCCACCTTTGGCCCAGCCTGCGCCCCCAGCTCTGCCTCCCCTGGGGGTCCAGCCTGCGCACAGGGCTCTGCCTCCCCTGGGGGGTCCCAGCCAGCTCTACTCCCCCTGGGGGTCTGGCCAGCTCTGCCTCCCCTGGGGATCCGGCCTCTGTGCTCAGCTCTGCCTCCTCTGAGGGGGTCCCAACCAGCTCTGCTTCCCCTGGGGGGTCCTGCCAGCTCTGCCTCCCCTGGTGTGATGGCTTCTGCCCCTCCCTGTTCCTGGGACAGGAGGGCCTCCCCATGCTGTCCCCGCAGCTGTGTCCTGCGTTTTAAAACAGCAAAACTCCCTGATGTTGAACTTTCCCAGCATGTGAGTCTCTTCACAGCACACTTCATGCGGAGCGTGGTGTTGGGGCATCTCTTATGTAAATGGAAGGACAGAGTTCTTACTTGGGGAGGAAAATTCTAGTGAGTTCCTTCCATTCCCCGCTCAAAGTCAGGGCAGAGAGGGGAGCCGGCGTGGGGCCCTGAAGAGGGCGTGGTGAATTTCACACATGAATCACCGCGGCTCCCAGCACCTATTTTGAGGGGTGGCTGTTCACACGCGTCTCGCTGCTATGGCTGCCCTGCACCCGCCCTCAGTCCCTCCTGACTCACCCCTCCCTGGGTGTGCCCTGGTACCAAACGTGCCCGCGAGCAGCCTCAGGAGTGGGTCCCAGTGCCACATCCTCTCGCAGGAGAACCTACGGCAGTACGTGGACCGCGTCTTCCACGCCATCACCGAGTCTGGGGTGAGCTGCCCAACCGTCATGTGTGACATCTTCTTCTCGCTCCGGGACGCGGCGGCCAAGCGCTTCCAGGGTGAGGCCCCCAACATGCTCATGCCACTGAGAAATGACTGCGGCCCGTGCAGGCTGACCCCCACCCAGGCTGAACACCCCCACCCCCACTGCTGAGAAACGGCCATGGCCCATGCACGCTGACCCCCACCCAGGCTGAACCCCCACCAGACTAGAGCCCCAGGATCGTGAATCCCAGTTCAGACGCTGGATTTTCCTGGGGTTTTGTGTCCGGGCCAGTGCTCCCCAGTTCACAACTGCAGGGGTCTCTAGGGCGCCCAGCCCTGGAGTTCACAGTAGTCTCAGGCAGGGCTGGCTGGGCTTAGTCGGGGTGGGAGGTGAATTTTCCTGGTATGGCACCCCCTCACACCTGGCCTTCCCAGTGGTTTATTTTTCTGGCTGACCCTGGTCGGGTGGGAAGTGAATTTTCCTGGTATGGTCCCCCACCCCGGTTTTCCCAGCAGTTTATTTTGGTGGCTGACCCTGGCAGGGCCCAGAGTGCTGTCAAGGCCTCTGTCTGCCCACGTCTTTGAGACAAGACCCCTGGGGGAGCTGCGCCTTCCTGGAACCCCCAAGCCAGGGATCCCCCAGGGACCTGGGCATCGGGCACCCAAACCCCACTTCCCAACCTTGCTGACCCATAGGGAGGAGCTGGGTGTCTGCAACCCCATCTCCCACAATGCTCAGGAGGTACGGCGACCCGGCCGGGACCTGGGCTCTGGCGCTGCTGAGAGGCTCAGCGAGGGCCTTGCCACCAGCTCCTCCCTCCCTTATGGATCCCGAGCCTGGGTCCCAGTGTGTCCTGTGACCTCGAGACAGCTGCAGACACCCCAGGGGGCCATGGCCCTGCAAAGCCATCCACGCTTCTGCATCCCCTCAGACAAATGCTGTCCCCGCTGCTGGTTCCCAGGACGTCAGGCAGCACATGACAAGGGGCACAGGGGTCCCGGGGAGGCCGTTCCCAAGCACATCCCAGTCCCAGGCCCACTTTGAACAAGGAGGAAGTAAAGAGATAAACACATCCTCTCGCTCAGATGAGCAGAGATCACTGCAGAATGAGTCTGTGACAGGCCAGGTACCAAAGGGGCTGTGCAGTGTTGTGGTGATGAGAGGTGGGGAGAGATAGAAACAGAGAGAGAGAGAGACAGATGGAGAGACAGAGAGAGAGAGACAGAGTGAGAGACAGAGTGAGAGACAGATGGAGAGACAGTCAGAGTGACAGTGACGGAGATACAGAGTGAGAGAGATAGACGGAGAGACTGAGAAAGAAGGAGCGAGGCAGACATGGTGGACAGAGATGCAGGACGGGCTGGACTTCCCTGTGGACCCTCCGGGGGCTGGGGCGTGATACCCCATGAGGCCACTGTGCCCCCGGGAAAGGGCAACCCCCCTCTGTCTCCCGCAGACGACCCGGACGTCAGGTACACCGCAGTGAGCAGCTTCATCTTCCTGAGGTTCTTTGCACCAGCCATTCTCTCCCCCAACCTCTTCCAGCTCACGCCGCACCACACGGTGAGTGACCAGCCAGGAACCGCGGCCTCCTGAGCTGTCCTGGGACGCTGGCCAGGGTCAGGGCATGTGTGTGGCTGCGGGGGCTGACTGTGTGGAGTGTGTGGAATGTGGAGTGTGTGGGGAGCAGGTGTGGAGTGCGTGGGGAATATGGAGTGCATGGGGAATGTGGGGTGCCTGTGGAGTGCGGGGTGCCTGTGGAGTGCGGGGTGCCTGTGGAGTG